GACTAGTCTTTCACAATCCACTGGTATGTAATGCATGTTTTTTACCATCCAATCACAGTCAGATCCCGTCCTACTTTTTTCTTCTTGAACAACAGATTTCACTTAGAAATATGTAATATTAGCGAAATAAGCTGGGTACATGAATTAAATGGGCTGCAAATCCCAAGTAATATGTATGAAAGAGCATTCCTCTGTTGTCAGGTCTGACACTGTTTGGGAAGAAATCTCATTTGGTGGATAGAGTTACAGCTTACTTTGAGCTGTCAGTCAGCTTAGTGCTGATAAACTTTGCCCTTTCCTGAAGTCTCACATACGCAATGCCATCAGAGACAGAGGTGTCTCTACTGGTGTCCAAGGTGTCCAAGTCACAACATCTAACTACTAGGGTGCCTCAGGGCTCAGTTCTTGGACCACTTCTCTTCTCTGTCTACATGGCATCACTAGGTTCTAGCTTGCTCTATTCTTTTTCTGTTTTCTTTTTATTTATTATATGATTTAAAAAAAACCTTGCTATGTGTACTGCATTAAGCTAACTGAGACTTGTTATAGCACTTGCTTATCATTGCTCTTTTGTTGATTTTGATTGCTTCCATTGTCCTCATTTGTAAGTCGCTTTGGATAAAAGTGTCTGCTAAATGTCTAAATTTAAATGTAATGTAAATATATATGATCATGTCAGTCTTTTCCTTGCCCCAAAATTCAGAAAATATTTATGAAGTTCAAAAATATTTGTCTGCTGTCATGTAAGAAATGTATATTTAAACTTTTTTTTAAGTCCGAAGTCCAGCTAATTAAATATAAATGTAAACTGTCTAAAATATATGATTTATATGTCTGTCTAAATCCATATTTTTGTTATGAAATTCTAGATGGCGCAATCCAATAGGTTTCTTTTAGTATCAGCAGCCTATGAGCTTGCTGCTCAACATTCAATTATTCTTGGCTAGTGCTTGCTGTAGCAGAAACCCTCCACCTTCCCCAGCTCCACCTGTATAGGTCAGCTACATGGTAATGTCATGTATGTTATATATGGGAGTTATTTCATATATGTTATACTGTATGTGCAGCAGCAGTATTGCTTAGATGCTCGCAGCAGCATGTCTGTGGTTGTATTGGCAGTAGCAAGTCTCAGTACTTGCTCTGCCGCAGCAGCAGCGTAGCAGATCTATTCCGCCAAGACCAGACACATTAACATTGCCATGTATATTACCATGCAAAACCCTCAGAGAGTTGACAGAATTAAACATATGAGAAATGTAATATTTACAGTTTTGCATGTAAATTTTGTAAATATTATTTTGTAAAAAAAAGAGAGCGAGAAGGGGGATTTAGAAGATTAGCCGTGAATTATTGAATAAAACATGTTTTTCTACAATGATAATGGTGAGGCAATGTGTCATGCTTTGGGGTAAGCTGTGCTTAACCAGTTGTACAGTATTATACTGTAGCTTTCATTCAGTTGATAGCAGACACGCTGAAATAATATTACGTATATTAGTTTTACCTTTGTTTTATCTCATTTATTCTTGCCAGAGGACAGCCACTTATCTCATGTACTTCAAACCTCAGAAAGAGAAAACTCAGGGTGACTTGTGCTCCAGTAGTTGTTAATTCCTGAATAGTCCTCACAGAATAATATGCATTTATTCTTGCCAGAGGACAGCCACTTATCTCATGTACTTCAACACTCAGAAAGAGAAAACTCAGGGTGACTTGTGCTCCAGTAGTTGTTAATTCCTGAATAGTCCTCACAGAATAATATGTTTTTTTTAAAGACACAGTCAGTCTAAACAGCTAAACAGCTGAGATACGTATTACATCTGCTTCGATACTTGATGATGAAAATGCTACTTGTTTTGTGAGGCTGTTTCACCTCCGTTTAGCGCCGTCTACTGGCAAATCAGTTACCTAGCTGATATGTTTGATTATCATCTCATGGTCGTCAAAAGGCTTTAAGCAGGATAATTAATGATCATTTTGCTACTGTTTGTCTTCATACCTTGGTAAAACATGTTTTTGTTCTATAAGTTTCCTGTCCTTTTAGTTACTGGTGTCTCAGAAGTATTTCTGTCACCCTTTCCAAAGTCTTAATCATGTGCTCTTGATTTTGAGGCATCTCTGAACCATAAACATGGTCACAACAACTGCAGTCTTGGTCTGGGTCTTATGGTCTCTGGCAAGACTGTAAGCTACTTATAATGTACTAAAGGTAATAATTACCACAGCCACTACTTAGCGTGGTATCTTTTTTCCCGCCCTGTGTACCCTGTTGAAAAAAACAGCATATGCTGGTTAGGTATGTTTTGATGCTGGGATGTTGGTGGCGTCAAAACATACCTAACCAGCATATGCTGTTTTTTTCAACAGGGTAATAGGAGATTTTTTTTATTATTATTATTTAAAAATCCTTAAACCAACAGGTCTTAGTCTGAATCTGGTCCTCAAAAGTAGATCATGGGAGGGACTCCTTTTTCAAGAACTTTATATAATATCTGTTAATTATTCTAAGTGAACTCTGATGTACTTTTTGAATTAACTCTAAATGATACAGTCTCTAATCTGTTACTGAAAAACTCAGTTTAAAGGGTTAATGATAGGTTTTGTATAGTTTGATAAGATAATTAGCCTTCAGGAATGATTTATTGCGTAAAGAAACCTAGTATTAAACTAGGTTATTAAAAAAAAAAATTAACAAGGCTTGTTGGATCTTGCGTAATTCACGGTTTCATGAGAATTAAATATGCGACAGAAATCAAAAGTCGGTCATGAAGCAAAGCAGCAAACAAATGATGTGATTAAAATAACAAACGTTTTACAATAAACATCTCTTATAGTATCTGGCGCCATCTAGCGGTAAAGCAACACATATAGCTGAGTTTGACATTTATAATAAAGACGTTGAACGTGTTCTTGTTGGGTTGGTAACTTTTCATAAGGCATTGCTTTCCTTTATATTCTGACTAACCAAAAGTGATTGATTTACCTTTGCTTTGCATACAGTGTAATCTTATCAGTAGAATATGTGAATAATGTTTAAAAGGAGATTATTTACTAAATCTAGCAGTCAAAGGTCACGAGCCTGATCCATGAAAAGAGTTTGAGAGTTCCACACACGGTCACAGAGAGTCACACTTGAAAAATGTAAGTAAAACTCTGTCATATAACATTTTTTTTTTTTTTTTGCTGTTTATACTTATGTATTTTTGAAAATATTTACTTCAGCTATTGTTGCAATAATAACAATTAAAATGACAAAGAATCTAAAAATGTCAAACACGTTTTCCATTGATTTATTTTATTGTGATTTTATAACAGTAACTAGGGTGTTTTGCCTGAACTCCCATTATTTTTTACAGACAGAATAAATTAGTTTAGCATATACCCTTTTATTTTTAATGGTTAAAATATATCTAATTTCACTTCAATTAAGTCATCTATTTTATTAGTCATGTTGAATAGTAATCACAGTTTTAAAAGATCATTATAATTGAGAGAATATATGAAATATTACAGCAGTTCAAAAAGTGTTTATGGTTTATTTGTTTAACATATTATTATTATTATTATTAGTAGTAGTAGTATTGTTGTTGTTGTTAATGTTGTTGTTGCTGTTTTGCAATCAGCCATGATTCATTTTTCCGATAATTGGAAGTGTAAATAAATAAATAAAATAACAGCTCTCATTAATCTACTGATATGAATTGAGTCTCTGTCTCAAATATAAATATATATTTAAAGTAAAATGTATTTATTGGTGTAAAATTATATTACGAGGGAAAAAAATATTGAACCTTTGAAGTATTCACCGACAATCACTCTAGTTCAATAGTTAATGTACAATATTAAATACAAACACAAATATTACATTTTATATAGTCAGTCATTTAATATATGAGTATCCGAAGTCCATAAAGCTGCATGCAATATGAATTAAATAATGATAATAAAATAATAATAATAATAATAGTTAAAAAAGTAAGTTAATAAATAAATAAATAAGGTTATTTATCATCTACATATGGAAGCCCGTTTTCGCCACTGAATACTCACAATTGCGAGCTATAAAGTCAGAATTGTGAGATATAAAGTTACAATTGCGAGATATAAAGTCACAATCACGAGATATAAAGTCACAATCGCAATTCTGACTTTTTTTCTCGCAAGTGCGAGTTTATATCTCGCAATTCTGACTTTTTTTCTCAGAATT